GTTAGTTGCGTTGAGTCAACGTTCTTTGGTGTGTTTTACCTTTTAGAAAATCGTATGACTTACTGGTATAGTATGCTATGATTTATGTCTCTGAAACTAAACCTAGTGTTATTCGTGCTGTTTTTTTTATTAAAATAATGATACAAATAAATTACAAGCTTGACGGTATCTTTATTGTCGAACTAGTATACATAACTACTTCAATCTTGAACTTTTTTTAGTCAGTAGCGGTATTGTAACTGTCAATAGTGACTCATCTATTCAAGTTCTTGCCGAAGAAGCAGCTTCACTTGACCAGTTGGACCCACATGCTGTTAAAGATGGAATGTCTAGGGCACAATCCGAGTTGTCCAGCGCTACTACAGAACTGGGAAAGACAGAGGCTCAAATCGCTGTTGAAGCATTCGAAGAAATGTCTCGCGCTCTTCAGGAGCAAACTTAATTTATGATTTGTATCACCAAGTTTGTTAGACTGAATAATTGTAGCTACATTACTGTACATCTTTTCTTGAGTCTGTTATGCCTCGGAGCCGTAATATGTTTTAACTAGACGTTGCTGTTGTTTTTCAATCATGCTTTATTTTATTGTGATTTAGGAGTTGTGGGATATGCCAACAGGTATTTTGTATTGCTTTAGACGAGTGACATCAAAGCTCTGACTGTCGATGAATTCAAATCCTAACCGACCATATTGAAGTGCACTGAATTTAAGCTATATTTTAGTAATTTTATTATGTATATCGAATATCTCGTTTTGTATATTTTAATTTCTTGTAGTCATTCAGAAGTATTCAAGCAATATTTTATATTTCCGAATTCTAGGAAAATAATAGGGTTACAAACTGTTTTGATGGCAAGTAAGCAAAAGTGTGGATTGTTATTGGGCATGATTAGTTAACTAATAAGTATGATTTACCCAGATTTACAGCTTTCTAGTGATCAGGTGGAATCGCCTAACAATTGAGGAGACCCTCTTAATGATGATCCACTCATCATGAGATCTAAATGTCCTGAATTAGATCTATTTTTTAAGCATAGCTTTCATAAATTGTGTGCTATTCGTTACCAGAATAAATCAATAATAGTACCTCAATCTATGAAGGATTGAAGTCCAGATTAATGAGTTTGTAGGTATGAGTACCAAGGTTGGACTTGATAGTTTCAAATAAATTGAATAGAAAGTCAATAAATGTATTTTTTGTTGTTTCCCAGCACAGAGTTTTTGAACTAATGTATAAACTGATTTGATTTACAGTTACTATAATAAGAACAAAGGTATTGAAACAGAAGAATTCATTACATCCTGTGCTAGTTTGTCAGAAATACAAACTATCAGATATTTTTGCAGACAAAAAGCTGATTTATCGTATCTTGTAGATATGTAATTGATTCTTCGTCATCTTTCATCAGACTTGCAACATATTTCATAATATATCTTAGTCAAATCTCATATGATAAATCCTTGGATATCATCTAACATGATCATAAGTGGTCACTGTTCGGTTGTTGCTTCATATTATAACTTTTGTGATACATAAAACAAGACGCTAATGAAGGATGAATTATATCAGAGTAATAGTAATGTACGTTATATATCCTACTGTGTAGAAATTCGAATTTTGCAACTAAGTATTCGGGGAATGAAATGGTAAAGATTTGTGTCTCAGGAGAATGGATTCATTGAAATTGAATTCTCATACCTAGAAGGTTTGGTCGTGTAGCTTTCATCGCATTTTTTAATAGTTTCATCAGGAAAAAGCAAGGTGGAAGTGGCCTATTCGAAAATCTGCACAAGCGGCTAGCAGCCCGTCCTGTTACCATTGAGTTTGATTGGTTGATATTACCACTTACCCTGTCATTTTCTGCAAATTTATTTTGAGTCTTGCCTCTTTACCCAGTTCTTCATGTGGTAGTTGTTTATGATTTCCCTATTTAATAGATAAGTTAAGTCTATACGAGTATGTGTGGTGATTATCGACTGATCTTACTGTTAAGTTTATAAAAATCCCCTAGTTTTCTTTGTATCATCTCTGTCTGCGGTTATCTTTATGTACAATTTATAAAATCTAAGATATGCTGTTGCGTTTGACAATCAGTTAGCGTCCATATATACGAACATGAAGAAAAGGACTAATTTATCCGGCGTAATGTCGGTAGCTGGACCAGTCTGTGTTGTAGATGATACTAAGATTCGAGTCATGACTTGATGTACCAACTTCTACCTGCAATCAATGTACAGAGGAAGAAGTGGTTTATAGGTACTTTTCTCTTTTTATAAGCAACGATTAAATTCGTGAGAACAGTGAAAATTGGACAGAAAAAAAGACAAATACTAGTTATCAACAAACTAGAAGACTGTAATACCGTTCACCGATGCTGATTAGGATTTTTTCAACCAGTGCTTAAATAGATAACCGTCAAACGCTGATGAAAACCCCAATTGTATGCTGGGTCCTCGAATTCCTGACAGGCATTTCAGTATCCGATTAGTTACTGAGGAACAAAATATGCGAAAACCGCACGTACACACTATTTTGGACAGTAAGGCCATGAGGAAACTGTAAAGACTGATAACTGAAGTCTTATAGAGATGCTTTAAACAACGAAAATAGAGAAGTGTATAGGCAACCTTATAAAATAAAGTTTTCATGACATCAGTTCTCGTACAAATAAATATTAGTTCTGACGACTTCGATGACTACACCTCGTATGTTCGTAGGCAACAATCCATACAGTTTTGAGAAGTAACCCTACAGTGGTACGAATTACCATTATTATTTCCCAGTCGGAGCCAATAAAAGCGATGAGTAGAACAGTCCACTCAAGAGCTGTAATAATTATTTAGGAAGGTCCACGTCACATACTTTAAAGAGTATTACAGTAAGAAGTCCACAGACATCTATTTTACGTATGATAATCATAAAATCAGTCTATGTATCATCAATTAATTTGTGGTTCACCTATTATTAGCCAATTTTAGAGTGTACTGAAATTGATTGTATGGATTGAGTAACGTTATTGCTAAATTATTTTCGACTCCAGTTGTTATAGCATGTTCTGAATGAAAGTAACAGGTATGTGAATTCCTGTCATTCTATTTTCGACGTGATCAAGTTTGTAGTCATTCCAAAGTGTGACTAGGTGATATGCTATGAATCGAAATGGTTGATATACTGAACTGTTTAACAAAACGTATGAACTGACAGAATAATCAATTTCGTTAACGATCAAACGGTGATCTTGATGCCCTTAGAATGGTCGTTGTGACCATTAAATTAAATAATCGTAAAAATCTCCAAAGAATTAATAAAGTTGAACAGTCTCGCGACCTCTAACAGATAAGCACATCGACTAACATGCAATAATCTCATAGCGAGGTTACGCTTATCCAACTTTGTTTGGTTGGAAGAAGAACATATAAACGAACAGTAGCATAAGATGTGTTGAATGTCAAGTAACACATGCAATATAGATTACGAAGAAACCATGTACATCTGATATATATTGCGGAGCTTAATATAATCGCAATGTGTAGTTCTTAACGGTGGAGATTTGTAGCTCAGCTGGATAATTTTGGTTTACAATTGATTGATCACTGGGTGGTGACCAACTTCATGTATGTCAGGTCCTTCTTAGTGCAGATCGAATCTTATCAACCAATAATTTTGGTAGAGATTCATTCTCTGAGCTTGATGGTTTGGTCTGTTTTTTTTGTAGACTGACTTGGATATTTGTTTCATTGGTGGAGAGCAGTAATAGAGGTTCATTTGCCAGGTTTGATTCGATCGAGTTGAATAGGGCTGTTATGACGAAGCATATCACCAGCTCGTCGTTATTGATTCGAATCCCTTTCATCTTATCCAAGAATTGTATTGGGGACTTAACGGGATGACTGGATGAACCAACCGAATATGTCAATTTTCTTGAAATTACTCCCGATACATTGTGTTGAGGTTCTGGGGAGTGATGCTATTAGACGTAGTGGGATGTTTGGTTTGTGTAGTTTCGGTCTACCATGGAGTTGAAGGAGCACTGATCCATTGTATTTCATTCTTGATCGATCTTTTGTTGGTATTTGTCCTGCTTTGATAAGTTTGTTTAAAGTCCTGGATATTTAGCTGTCTAACTTCTTGACTGGATTTGTGTGTGGGGATTTATATACGCCTTTATCGTCAAGTAGTTCCTCAGGCCTTCCTGATATATTCTTCATTCTCCATACTTACTGTAGAGCGTTTATCCAACTCAGAGATTGAAACTCCACCGAAATGTGGTTGTAAACCTTCAGCGACACGACTTGAAGTTGTTTTAAATTTCGATTTTCGACATTATTTCGTACTTTTGACTCACTGAATAGCTTCCATATGTATCGTTGCTTTAACTCGCATTGGCATTCTATTTTGTTAATTTTCTTGACGGTGTGATGATATTTTAGCAATAAAATAGTGAGTATGGTTACCGAACAGTTAATCGATCTAAATGCAACAACTTGATTTGATTGAAGAATATCTGACGTGAATTGACAGATAGGTTGAATAAGGATATGAGAAACCGTCGTCAGATAAATTCAAGCCTTTGTTTTACTACATGTTGACTGCTAATCATGTCTTGTGAAATCTTTAGTATGCTCTTCTGATAGTATTGTTAATAATTATTATATTGATGAATAGATGTTTGTACGTAGATTTGATTGTGAAACAACACTCTGAACTCAGACACAAAAGTTCATATATTAAACCATCTTATGCAAGGCTAACTGGTTGTATCATGCATATATACGTATCCTGATAGCTATTACAATTACGAGGAACTTTTTTAATCAGTAATCAGCTATAAGTCATTACGCCGTAATCAGTAATTATCAAACAAATAATAAGCACCAGTAAGTTTATAAAATCACATAATACATATTACCCCATGTGACTTATATCTCGACTAAGCCACTAAATGACACGCGTTCTTTTAGCTGATCGACCAATGTAAGGTATGTAAGAATACAAGTATAACGGAAGAGAAAACTTGTTTAGCTTTTATTATCAAAAATAAATATAAGTTCGAAGTAAACAATAATTATAATAAATAAATAATTAAATCAAAGAAAATAAATACAAATTTAAGAATTGGGCGTACACACACCTCAATAAAATAGAATCTTATCTTTCCTTTGTTTCAACAGATTGATGTCTAAAAAAATTTTGAGTACATAACTATAACAGGAGTAAAATAAGTTCAAATAAAGCGCTCATTATGTAAACATATGACAAGCGCTTATGATATGAAGTGTTTGTAAGTGAATGTTTATTATTTGGATAATGATTAGTTTAAAATCATGGCATTTTATCATTTAATTGATTTAAAGTATCATTATTACTATTTACATTCGATTCTATATTGTTCATATCTGTTGTAATTGAACCATTTTGTGCTTGTTTACTTGTGCGTAAACGTTTGATTACTGTAAAATAGAGTATAACAGCTATTAACATTAAAACGATTACAACACAAAAAACAACCACTGAGAACACGATAATTTCCCGCTTTTTTTCTTCGTCTATTGTAGTTGCTCTAAATATTTGTTTTTGTGAAAAAAAGGAAGGAATTAGAAAAAAAGAAGAAACATGAATCAAATTATAAACAGTGCATTTACAAATGTTCCTTGATAAAATAATTAACGAAAAACTGGCAGAAAATTACTATAAAAAACATTAGATAGGTATTTGCTAAGGTACGCCAGTTTCATTTACGTTATGTATTGTTTGCCTGAGTATCACATTTCCAAGTTACCACTTTTTTTTGAAGACGCATTGTCGTTTTTGAAATAAGTTTTAGATGAATTTTTAATATTTAAAATAGTATTATTAATTCAACTTCTTGTATCCGATAGTCTAAACAATGAATATTTCGGTAGTTGAATAGAACCTAAACGTAGATGCTACCTTGGGGTGATAGTTGAAATTCCCTATCGTGAAGACTCAACCGAGCTATATTGTTGGCTGGGACACTTGTTTATTTAGATCCCACCATGTCAGAAAGGTGCGAATAGAAGTAGCAGCTGAAGGTCTTAGGGTGAAGTTGTATTGCTAACTGTGAAGGCGGTAATATTTCTCCCTCATATAACCATTAATAACAATGATGTTACTTTCTTAAAACCAAAGGGAAAAATTAGATTTTCGCCTCTGACGATAAGGCCTTTAAAATACAAATATAAGGCATCGAGAAGTTTCACATAAAAGTCATGTGCGATTGATCTCAAGTGGTTGTCTTTTGGATTCCTCAGTTACCTTAACAGGTCACCAAGATCAATAGTAATCTGGTTTATTTTTCAGGCACCCTAAGAAGAAATATCCACACATTTGAGACCCACTTATTCATGATCAAATCCCTTCATCACTTCCGAATATTTTTTCTATTCTCACCACCAACCCTTCTTATGTAACTTAGTCTTTAGAACTAATTCCTGCCAATGCTAGAGATTTCAGTCTCTTGAATCCACTCTCTAAACTACGTGCCAGATCTTCCAGTGTCCGAGCCTTATTTGAAATAGAAAAAAAGGTTTTATTATCCAGAACTATAAGTTTTCGAGCCATTAACTTACATTGCGTTTTTGAAACCTGTGTATGGGATGCAAGTGGATTTATTCACTATCTCATCTAGTCGATACGGAGAACTGGTATGACGTACCTCTGTGTATCTGTAAACTTGACTGACCGAAGCAGAAACACCCCTTAGAACTCAGCCCAGTGATAGAAAGACTAGTAGTATGTTCCACGAAAATCTAAAGAAGCAGTTAGCCAGTCATCAAGATGATGACCACCCCGATGCAGACTGATATGATATACCAATAGTTGTAAGAACAACATGAATGTCTACCAGTAACTCAAAATAAAAGATTCAGAAGTAACAGTGGATTTTGGTAGTATTTACTGATTTGATAGATGGAAGCAAACTCAGCCCATCGGCTCGGGACACAATGAAGAGCGAAGACAACTTGAATATAAACTAACAAAAAATTTGTGTGATGACCGAGGGCAGTGGTGGATAGCGAAAATAAAAGAGATGGGAGAGGTTATGGTGCTAAATAATAATAGATAACTTTCCAAATTTATTAAAGAAAGAGGTATTGAAAAATCGAGAGTTCTTGGGGACTAGCCTCCAACAATAATCGAACTAATGACGTTGGCGAGCTGTCCGTCTTTCAACCAAAGAGCGAGCACCAATTCGTCCTGTTCTGCTTCATGGCTGTGAAACGTGGCCTTTAAAAATAAACTTTACTGGTATCTGATGACTGATATATTAGAAGCATTCTTTGTGTACGTTGAGACCACCGGCTGAGTAATGCTGAGGTTAGACTCAGAGTACTATATAAATATGTCAAATCGACTGTCGAGATAGTGAATCTTTGAAGACCGTGGCGGTTGAGACATATATTACGTATGTACATCCATTGACTAACTCGATCCGAGATGATGACTGGTTTAGGAGTAGATTTAGAGGAAACTAGGAAAGGTCAGTTCAAAACAAAGCATTAGTTCATGAATCATCGGATGTTAGACTGAGTCGTGTAAGTATATGCAGACTACTTGTTTGGGTCCTGAGCGATTTCCGTGATCAAAGATTAGATACTTTGGGGATATGGCTTAGAATAGATCACAATACCACAGGTGCCTTCCCTCTTTGTTCACTTTTAGATCCAAAGTTTCAAAATACCTTACATTTTCTAGACCACAAATCCATATTTTCTCGAATCATATCTTTTGTGTTTAAATTTTCTTATACCACTATCGTGGTGTGTGCTACTGATGTCGACAGATATAAGTAGTTAGTGTCGACAGTCGAAAGTGAAATACCTGGAGGAGTAAGGTCAAGAAGATCAAAGAGAAGAGAACGGGAACAACGAATTATTGGTGCAGAAACTAAAGAACAACGAAGTCTGAGACGGTTGATTGACATTTTGCAAATTAAGTATTTACTGCATGGTTCTCAGATGTTCTGTAATTTTGTAATCAAATACATCCGATTGTCCCCACTTATGTTCTCGTTCACTACATTTGGTGTCGCTGCCAACCAGGAGGGAGGGAAGGGTGCTTTTCTGCGATATCACATACCTTCGTTATAACTTCTAAAGACCCGGTATAAGATTTTGATCTTGAGATGGTGAAGATTTTTAGCTCAGGTGGATGATTTTGGGGGTTTTCGTTCTCTGAGCTCGATAGTTTAATTAGATAGAGAGTCTGCCTAAAGTTTGTGCTGATAATGTTGTTCAAAAAAATAGTGAAAGCTCAACCGAGCAAACGCTGCAGGAGATGAAACTATTTTGCTCTGGTGGTTTATCGCTATCGAATTAAAGTCGTTCATTTGGAAAAGGATACAATATAACACTAAACAGAACATTTACAGATCTACTATACGCCTTGTAAGAGTTCCTTTCTATTTACTATTTATAGCTATTTGTATTAATTTTTAGTGTTAGCGCTCAACATAAGAAATAATAATTCCAATTCTAAAAGGAATGATACTTTTTTCTATTCCATGAAATAAGAAATACTGATATAATATTATTGGCTTTATTAAGGTTAACATTGAAGTGATACATTTCTAAATTGAATTATTATAACTGCTAAAATTATCTTACATAATTTTATTCGAGCATCTCATGTACAAATAATAATAATAATAATCTTACTTTAATTTATATAATAAAGCTCCTAAACTCCATTGTAGTTCGATTTTATTAATTTCGAGAGTGGGAATAAGTTTGTCATAATTAGTTGGAAAGTGCAAGCCTTTATGAAATGCACTAACTAAATATGAAGCTTTAAAGCATATTAATCTGTAAAGAAATATTAAATAAACGTATTGACTAGTCAGATAGTTAGCAATCATTATACACAATAGTAGATAATAACAAAGTTCACACTTTCAATTACATGATATTAATTGTTGAAATACTTGGAAAAAATTCAGGATGAACTTGTTCACGCAAATTCTATACTAGATATCCGAATTCAGACGTTTTATTGTTGTAATATCTTCAAATATTATTACTGATGTATGCAGAGTAGACTTAAAAGAGCTTATTAAGTCAGATGATATGTATCAATATCTTGTGTTAATATACATGTCAACGAAATGCAATGCTTTACAAACCAAAAGAAAATATTACTGTATATGGACGCTATCTCTGACCTTTTGAAGAATTCCAGATAAGTCCCACTTGAGTAATATAGTTTTCATATAAACGGTTTAACCTATTCAATCTATCTGTCAATTCACGTCAGATATTCTTCAATCAAATCAAGTTGTTGCATTTAGATCGATTAACTGTTCGGTAACCATACTCACTATTTTATTGCTAAAATATCATCACACCGTCAAGAAAATTAACAAAATAGAATGCCAATGCGAGTTAAAGCAACGATACATATGGAAGCTATTCAGTGAGTCAAAAGTACGAAATAATGTCGAAAATCGAAATTTAAAACAACTTCAAGTCGTGTCGCTGAAGGTTTACAACCACATTTCGGTGGAGTTTCAATCTCTGAGTTGGATAAACGCTCTACAGTAAGTATGGAGAATGAAGAATATATCAGGAAGGCCTGAGGAACTACTTGACGATAAAGGCGTATATAAATCCCCACACACAAATCCAGTCAAGAAGTTAGACAGCTAAATATCCAGGACTTTAAACAAACTTATCAAAGCAGGACAAATACCAACAAAAGATCGATCAAGAATGAAATACAATGGATCAGTGCTCCTTCAACTCCATGGTAGACCGAAACTACACAAACCAAACATCCCACTACGTCTAATAGCATCACTCCCCAGAACCTCAACACAATGTATCGGGAGTAATTTCAAGAAAATTGACATATTCGGTTGGTTCATCCAGTCATCCCGTTAAGTCCCCAATACAATTCTTGGATAAGATGAAAGGGATTCGAATCAATAACGACGAGCTGGTGATATGCTTCGTCATAACAGCCCTATTCAACTCGATCGAATCAAACCTGGCAAATGAACCTCTATTACTGCTCTCCACCAATGAAACAAATATCCAAGTCAGTCTACAAAAAAAACAGACCAAACCATCAAGCTCAGAGAATGAATCTCTACCAAAATTATTGGTTGATAAGATTCGATCTGCACTAAGAAGGACCTGACATACATGAAGTTGGTCACCACCCAGTGATCAATCAATTGTAAACCAAAATTATCCAGCTGAGCTACAAATCTCCACCGTTAAGAACTACACATTGCGATTATATTAAGCTCCGCAATATATATCAGATGTACATGGTTTCTTCGTAATCTATATTGCATGTGTTACTTGACATTCAACACATCTTATGCTACTGTTCGTTTATATGTTCTTCTTCCAACCAAACAAAGTTGGATAAGCGTAACCTCGCTATGAGATTATTGCATGTTAGTCGATGTGCTTATCTGTTAGAGGTCGCGAGACTGTTCAACTTTATTAATTCTTTGGAGATTTTTACGATTATTTAATTTAATGGTCACAACGACCATTCTAAGGGCATCAAGATCACCGTTTGATCGTTAACGAAATTGATTATTCTGTCAGTTCATACGTTTTGTTAAACAGTTCAGTATATCAACCATTTCGATTCATAGCATATCACCTAGTCACACTTTGGAATGACTACAAACTTGATCACGTCGAAAATAGAATGACAGGAATTCACATACCTGTTACTTTCATTCAGAACATGCTATAACAACTGGAGTCGAAAATAATTTAGCAATAACGTTACTCAATCCATACAATCAATTTCAGTACACTCTAAAATTGGCTAATAATAGGTGAACCACAAATTAATTGATGATACATAGACTGATTTTATGATTATCATACGTAAAATAGATGTCTGTGGACTTCTTACTGTAATACTCTTTAAAGTATGTGACGTGGACCTTCCTAAATAATTATTACAGCTCTTGAGTGGACTGTTCTACTCATCGCTTTTATTGGCTCCGACTGGGAAATAATAATGGTAATTCGTACCACTGTAGGGTTACTTCTCAAAACTGTATGGATTGTTGCCTACGAACATACGAGGTGTAGTCATCGAAGTCGTCAGAACTAATATTTATTTGTACGAGAACTGATGTCATTAAAACTTTATTTTATAAGGTTGCCTATACACTTCTCTATTTTCGTTGTTTAAAGCATCTCTATAAGACTTCAGTTATCAGTCTTTACAGTTTCCTCATGGCCTTACTGTCCAAAATAGTGTGTACGTGCGGTTTTCGCATATTTTGTTCCTCAGTAACTAATCGGATACTGAAATGCCTGTCAGGAATTCGAGGACCCAGCATACAACTGAGGTTTTAATCAACTTATACGGATGACAGTTTTCTTGATCGTGAATCATGCTTGCTGTTTTCATAGTGCTCACTAAACTACAATAAATAAATCAAACTTTATTATGGTTTGGCAATAGTGTTTTTCTGGTTGTCGCTTAGTTTCTATTTGTATGATGATTGACTAAGATTGCTGAACTGTATCATTCGTGTTCACAATTATTATTCAAATTGGATCGTTGATGTGTGTTTCAAAGAATAATCAAGGTCTACGGATCATATACTGAGTTCTATTCTTGTTTCATGAAAGTATAATTGGAAAGTTATGTTTTGAAGTATATAGTAATAAAAAATAGATGGTCGTTTTGTAACTTCATGTTAATTCATCATTATTAAACTGTTAAGTTTTTTTTTATTGTATATTTTATATATGTATGTGTAAATGACAGCTTTAATTCATTATTTAATCGATTGCTTGTGTTTTGTCATTTGAAACATTTTCTCTTGGACTTTTATGATTAATTCCCTGAATAAATATGAAAGTTCGTACACTTCAAACATTCTAGTAATGTTATAAGTCATAATGTCAGTTTTATGAAATCAAAGTGTATCAATATTTATTGAGACTTAATCTATTACGTTATGACGGTTCGTATATCATTTATCTTACGCTGTATAAATACCAATTTCATGTATTTGCCACTGAATGGAAAATCTTTATTATCCATATCATGGACGATCTGTAACATCATGCATAGATTGATTTGTGTCATTCGCTATGAGCTTTTTTGTTTTGTCTCTGTTAGATAATAGGACAAATTCTGTCTTATTTTGTTGTACGCAAATATAAAAACTAACGAAAGCTGGAAATCATGTCTTAGTTCGGCGATTGTATGTGATGCAAACAAATTTCATATTATATAAGATAAATCTCCGTGAATCATCAGGTTATCGGAACAATATTCCATGTGGTCTAGTTTTTTTAAATATTGGCTAATGTTTTAACATAATGTAAATATGTAGCTTGAAAAACGGTTTTTATTTAAATGGTTGAGTATTACTGAATATTAAAAAAGGAAACGAAGAAAAATGGTACTCACTTTTTAAAGCCTATAAATGAATTAAATCTAGAATTGAAAGAAAACGAAACGAGAAAATAGGAAACATTTGATAAGATAACAACATTGCTAATGACCACTGAAATAAAAAAATACTAATGCGCAAATTAGCATTTTGTCTTGGTGCATAGCAAAGGAAGTTAAAAAAGATGGTCAGTCAGACAAAAAAACACAGAACCTGGGACATAAGTGCATCGATTTAGGTTACCACACGACATCAACATAGCTACATGAAATTATGAGGAAAAATGCCACAGTAGGGAAAGTAGTAACAGTATGAGTAATAATAATAATTTTATTTTTTATTTATTTTATGGCGTTATTCAATATTATATTTTGGTACAATATAGAATTCTCAGCACAAAATATTTCAACAAGTTTCTTTTACAAAAAAAACAGAAACAAAGACAAAAAAGGCTAATAAAAAATCTCAAAAACTGTACAACTTTTCAAATGAGATACATGTTAAGAATGCAGGTTATTGACTAGGTCAACTATAACAAGTTGTTCGTCACAGAGTATATTTTCTAGGTAAGGTATTATAGAACTTTAAAATTCAAGCACGCAAGCAAAAGTATTAATGTAATTTTGTCTCGTTCTACCAGAAGATATACAAGGAGAACGATATGAGTGAAGGGGATGGTTATTATCTGATAAAATAACAACTGCCAGGAGTTTGCATGACTTTAGATGTCTATCCACAACCATATTTATTATGATCTCGAAAGATTCACTACACACCTTGCTAACTGCCTTCAGCAATCTCCGCAGTACAGCAAAGTTTTTTCTCAAAAGCCCGGGAAAGAATAATGGAGAACAGTAAAGAATAATAGGTAATGTGCAAGAATTGACAAATTGTAAGAGTAAATGACGAGTGATCCCAAGAGCATGCAATCTCTTTATGTAGTAAGTCAGACGGAAAACCTTATTCGATAACAATAAAACGTGAGAAGACCAAGAGAGATCAGAGGAAAAGGTAACACCAAGATAATTGAACTTCGACACTGTGTTTATCAATGAGTCGCCAATGGCACAAGCATCATCTGATCTCAAAATGGTGTTTACATGCCGTTCATGTCTCATGCAAAATTTAACAGCTTGACATTTAGACGGATTAAGTATGAGATCATTAACAACAGACCAACAATCGATACGAGACAAAAACTCATTCATTTCTATCTGATGTAAAGAGGAAGAGATAGGCACACATACAGTGAGATCATCCGCATATTTCACAAAAGTTTACTATGGAAGATGGCAGATTATGCAGAAAAAAAGAGAAAAGAAGAGGTGAAAGAACAGCTCCTTGTGGTACACCTTCATAAGACAGTAGAGACTCTGAACACTTCCCTCCAGACACTATGTACTGTTCCTTTCCGGAGAGGTAGGAACATAGCCAGCTGGTTATCCAGCTATCAGTGTTGGCGCTGATTAACTTGTTAAGTAAACGTTGTCTTGATACAGAATCAAAAGCTGAAGTATAGTCCAAGAAAGCGCATCGAACATACTTCTTACCCATTTCTAAGTTGAACACTATATTGTGATGCAGAACAGCAACAGCATCTCAGGTGCTTCTTTTGCATCTGTAAGCAAACTGATACGGGTCAGTGTGCTCTTTTATCGCAGGCTGAAGTGAAAGTGTCAATAATTTTACCGTTGTTTTGAGGAAGGGTGAAGGTGTTGCAATAGGTCTATCACAATAGGTCTTATCACCAGATACTTTCTTGGGTACTGGGATTATCTTTATCTTTTTCCACATTTTCGGTATGAGATTAGAAGAGAAGGATCTGTTAAAGATAGTAGTGAATGGATAATATAGGACGTCAGCACACTTTTTAGAAAGGAGGTTTGGGATACCATCAGGTCCTAAACATCGGGATGAATTTAGTGACTGGAGACATCTTCGGACATCAGTTTCTGTGAAACTAGGAACACAGCTATTCTTTAAACTTGTGAATAAAGGGAGTATTACATCAGATGACTGACGTACAAAAGACTTATTTAAGTCACAAACATTCAGCTGGTTATCACTCCTAATCTGTCTGTTACCTGTAAGTTCTTTAAAGAGTTTCCACATACTTGGAGAGTTCTTACAAGACAAGAGTTTTCGAGTAAACATAGAGTTGAGACGACTAATCTCGAGGTTTATCAGACTATTTAGCTTACGAACATTACTAGAGTTTTTCTCCTTGTACATTCCTTCTTTCACCCTCCGTAGTCGTTTTAGTTGTGAAGATGTAAGTCGATCAAAACTTACAAAAATAGTTTCAGTGGGACAACAAATATCAAAACAGAATTTAAGGTAACAAGTGATAACGTCAGAAGTTATTTCCAGTGAGTCATCTGTAAATAATTCCCAGTTGGTTGTATGAAACATGTCTTTCAGATTTCGGATATTTTTTTCTGAGTAATTTCTATATTAGACTTTCTTGGTTTGATTTAAGAGTGTACTCTTCCCATGCTTTCCATATACTTTAGGTAGAACACGAATTATACAGTGATCCGAGCTAGAAAATGGAGCACGTTTACGAGTCACATATATACCTACATCATTAATGAAAACGAAGTCTAAATGAGCATCCAACCGAGTAGGAAAATCTACTACATTTTGGTGACCTAGTGATGTAAGGAAGCTACAGTCACATGAACTGAAATCACCACATACAACTGAAAGTGAATCACTGAAGGCAGTAACAGCGAACTCAGTGAATTCATCAGCGAAGACAGATAGCGCATACGATGTGCAGTCTGGAGTCACATAGATATTGGTAACATAAACATATTTGTATTTATTCAGATGTTTTGGGCGGCATCTTAGAGTTAGACAGTTGATAAAGTCATTTGAAAACTTGAAACACGCAAGCGTAGATCGACACCAGTTCACGTTTACAAAAGTAGCTACACCGCCGCCACACCTCTTTTTATTGTTTGATCGATCTTGACGATAAATTTTGAAATCACGTAGGGATACTAGGCAGTCGTCCTGTAAATCACTTAACCAAGATTCTTGAATTGTGATGACACCACAATTACGATACATATTTTGACTTAGTAGGAATTGAAGATAGTCTATCTTGTTAATTAGTGATCAGCAGTTAGAATTTAGCAACTCGGGAATCGACATACGATTAATGCTCATTCTCTTCAACGCATATTGCCAACCACCACGATGTCTTTTATTATAGTTTTTTGTAACTTGTGCAGCGAAAGGTCGTAGGCTTTTCATAAACGCGCCTGTATACGTTATGCAATTAATGGACATAATGAGATGTTTAAACAAAATGAAAAAAAACAGATAACTTGTTGAAATAATTAGATGGCAGAAACAGGTAGCCCAGATATTCAAGCAGGCCACCTAAAATGATTAGGGATAAAAATTATGATACCAGATAAAAATAAGTTATTGAAATAAAACATATAAGTATTTCAAGATAAAGAAGTGAATGTATCTGCTCCATTGATACCGATTCCGAGCCACATCACTGTGCTAAAGACATTCCATATTTATTCGTAGAATATATTATATTCGGCTTAGTTCATAATACTTTAATAGCAAAATATCCAATCAGTTATACGTAAGTTACTAATGATTAAAATTGTAACTGTTTCTGCATTTCAAGTAAGAATGGATATTGTACATGACCGTTAATAGTTTAGCGTATAAGACTGAAAATAACGGACAATTACTACCATTGAAGTGACGCTGCAAACATAGAATGAATAATGGTTAGATTATGTATAGAGAAAGCCTATATATGGATATGTGGCCATATGATCAAGTTATAAAGATGGATTAACTACGTTTACTGGTGCAATGTATGAGAACACAAGTGGGGACAATTGAAAGTACTTGATTACAAAATTACAGAACATCTTAGTAAAATCTGAGAACCATGCAGTAAATACTTAATTTGCAAAGTGTCAATCAACCAAATTACAAACAGGTATCGATCTAAAATTGATTAGTCGATAACTGATTATCAACACCAAAAATATGATCTTATTATATAAAACCTGAATGATTAACTCTCCTATTATGTAACAACACTAAATGTGTCAACTAAAATTAATTAAGGATATCTGAATACAGCAAATATAGAAGAAAGAATTTCACAGGCACATGCTTCAAAAATGTACATTGTTCACTCTGTCATGTCTTTATTTTTAATAGCAAAGTGATCAACTGACTGGATTATCTACGTGCAATCATGTGGTATTTAGTACTTGAACACCTATTTACATATTTAACATAGTTTGCTTTTTCAATAACTAAAAATCAAATGTTTATAACGAAAAGCATGACTTTTAGAGTTTTCTAACGTAATGATATGAAGTGAAGGTGACAATGCTCTAATGGTTGAATTTACAAGTCGATTTAAGCTAGAACACCATTGAAATCCTGGAAGCACTGGATAGCCGTTTCATCCTAGTATGAAACTCCTCAGTAGTGCGCATCCACGATCCCGCACGCAGGACGTGAAATTGAATAATCATGCACATTTTTAAAGTCATGTTTAAAGTAAATTTTGATGCTGTTAGATAATTTAAAATGTCTATTGGTAATTTTCCAAAGTGCAACTTGAGATGTCAGAATGTTTATGTGTTGGGGAGATCCAGAAAACTAAAAAAAAACCAAGAAAGGCTCTGAAAAGCACTGAGAAGCATCTTGGCCAATCGGCGTTCAGTAGAAGTTTTGCCAGAAACATCAAGAAAGTGAAAAATCACATGTCGAGTTTCTGATTGGACGATTACTACACTGCTACTATGTTTAGTAGCATTCCAGAATTTTCAGGAAACCCATGGACATCTAAAATACTATAAAAACCCTATAGTTTTTGTACACGAATGAAACTTTGGAATAAAGTGTTTCTTATGCATTTCGCGCCTTTTCCCTCGTGTTCAAGTCGTTGTGTAGTTCTATCCTGGGGGTTAACAAAAGAGCTTGGGAAATAAATCTAACGTTCAATTAGCAAGACTCATCAATATGAATTATGTAAACACAATTTTAA